TATAGTTACAAAAAAATTAAAGGGGTGCTTATGCCCGAAAAAATGAAATCAAAATTTTTTAAAACTTTTTCCGGGCATATTTTGGATTTTTTTTCTTTAATATTGCACTTTAAATTGTTAGATAATCAACTATTATCACCTAAAATATAAACAAAATCTAACTAAATGGATAAAAGTTATTCGTTTTAAAAAAAAAATGTGCTTTAATGTTTAATGCCCGGTAAAATACACAATTTTGAAAATTTTGAAAAATCTTTTTTTCCTAAAATCTTTTGTCATAAAACACTACCTTCATACCAAGTTTCACAAAAATTGAAAGACCCATGACCAACTTTGATTTTTTTGAGAAAATTTGACCCTAAATCAGTTCTGTCAGTTGAAACCCAGCTTCTATATGTCACTGTATCTATGTAATGATTATCAAATACATTTATCAAAATATCAATTAAATTTTGTATTCCATTACAATCTTCACATTGAAGTAGAAAACATGAAGATGAAGGTGAATCGTAAATCATTTTTTTAAAAATAGTTTTATAAGAACTTAGAAAAGATGTTTCAGTGTCAATTTTAGTTAATTCACCCAAAGTTGAATCCTCTATCATGAGCTTAACATTTTGGTGAATCTTGCAAACGCAAACGGAGTGTGTTCCATTGCTGCCAGCTAACATACATTCTTTAGGTCGAAGTTCAGTAAATTTTGATAAACTTATTTGAGAATCTGGATAATCCTTCTGAAAAAGAGCATATAATTCTTTTATATTTCCCAGCAATAAACGTTTTTTGACATGAATACGATTTCCATCCTTCACGTAGGAAATAAAATCTTTTTTACCAGGTAGGACTCTGCTTATATCATCCGCGTGATAAAAATCATTTACTAAATTTACTGTTTTCAGAGGAAGTGTCGTTGTACTTTTACGTGGATTCGGAGAAGAACCAGGACCTTTTGTTTTGTTAAGTTCGAAGGCTTTGCGAGCTAAGCTATAAGAAACCTCGAAATATTTTGATAATTTACGAGGGCCCCAACCTTTCGGTGCCATTGTTAATAGTTTAACAATTGAGGCTCCCAATTCAAGAACCGGTCGGACGCTCGGACGACACGCGATAGTACCAGTCGGGTAGCAGTGAGTGGCCCAGAGGCGCTCACTGCTCACTGACTGGCAGTTGCGCGTGTCGTCCAAGCGTCTGACCTGTTCTTGAATTGGGAGCCTCAATTTCAGTTTAACTTTGAGCTTTCTTTAACATTTCTTGAATTTCAGAAACCATTTCACTTGATTCTTCTTTCAATTCAAATATTACTTCCTCATAGAGGAAGTATTGTAATACCAAAATTTTTTAAGTTCGATTTTTTGATATATCTTTAAGTTATTTTACCTGAGGAGTTCAAAAATGACATTTTTAAAGAATGTCATTCCGTATGTGTGTGTGTATGTGTGTAAACATCACATTTTCATAAATATCTCGAAATCATGAAGAGCTTTTGGAAGGTTTTTTTTCAAATTGTAGATCTCACCTGCGGACATAAAGTGAGAGTACTTTGTGATAGATTAATAAAGTTTAACTAAATTTTTTTTGGATTTTTAATTTTGCAAAAAAACGTTTTTTGTCCATAACTTTAAAAAAATGTTAGGACACCTATAAATGTTTTTCCATAATTTTGTAGAGTTTTTTAGACGCATCTTTTGAGCCCTAATTAAACATTTTTTGTCTATATTAACCGGAGATATTAAACTTTTAAAAATCAAAAATTTTGTAAAATAAGACTTTTTTAAAAATTTGGTTGAAAAATATTGAAGTAACTTTAAAATTATCGTTACCAACTTGTAGAGCATTAAAAAACGCTTCGATTGACCTAATTTTGAACCTAATTTGATAATAAATTTCGAAATTATTGGTATTTTAAAAACCAAAAATTGTGGAAAATGACATTTTCTCAACTTTTTTGTTTGAAATTTTTTGTATAACAATTAAATTATTATAACTATCTTGTAGGGTATTTAAAAATAGATTGATTGATCCAAAATTCAATCACTTTTACCATATTTATAAGAAGTTATTCATATATTTCTATTATTTTTATCTATATGAGGAAGCAAAGTGTTCGTAAAATGAGCACCAAAATTATCTCTTACCTATTACGCGATAAATTGGAACGAAAATCTCTTTTTTTAAATAGGAGAAAAATCTAAGAGGAATAGAATTTGATTCATATTTTCAATATTATTGTCCTCTTCAACATTTTTACTGACACCTTCAATTTCTTCTTCATCCATTTCTATGTCGGCAATTTCATTTTCCTGAAATATAACTTCTGCATCATTCGGAACGACAATAGGCTGTGCATTTGAAGTTATAGGAAAATCATTAACTTGAAGTTTAGCTTGTGCATCGAGTTGTACCCTGCAACTGGTACATATATATAACTCCCTTTTGCAAGCTTAAATTTTGTTTGCAAAGAAACATTAACAAGTCGAAGATTCCCTTCATCAATCCTCTTTGAAGAATGATTCTTCTTTTCCAGAGGATTACAACAGTACTTAAAAACCATTACGTTTAGTGAAACTGTACAACAACAAAATACCTATATTTATTACTTAAGGGGATGTCAAAGTCGATTGGATTTTTGCATTGAGCTTCAATGGGAAAATCGCATCGACTTTGACATCCCCTTAAACACTGTAGAAAATCAATGAAATATTTAGGTAAATGATTAAAAATGACCTTCAAATGATAGACTAACACTTGGGAATGAGGAAAGGAACCATGAAATTAAAATAAAATCCCATATTATGCATTTTCATATATCTTTAGAATAATTTATTCCTCATGAACGAAATCCAAAATTGAAAAATTGAAAAAATGTAAAAAGGTTATCAAAAAAAATTTTTTTCTCTCTTTCCAATAGAAATGAAGTTTTTAACACCTCTTTAAGTAAAAAATGAATTTCTGTTGCAAGTACGCTTTGTAATTGCAAGATTTCCCAAATTACTACTTTACTTACTTTACTTAACACATTTTCACATATCATCTTAATGAACAATTTCTGTAAACTTATTTTGTCTTTGGCACATTTCTTCTACATTTAGTTCTCTTTTTTTGACACCACAAAAAAGTTTCTGCTGAGCCTATATCACAAATTGGTACGATAGTCAAGTATACTTAACTGCGACTTATATGAAAAGATGGCTGACACTTAGTAGCAAGAATTTACGTACAAAGATAGATGGCGCTAGTGTGATAAAATGAAATAAAAAAGGTGGCCCAACCCTAATGCCCGGTTTCACCAACTCGTATTTGACTTTTCCCTAAATTTCTCTGGCAACAAGAATTACACTATCTGTCACTTTTCAAAACACTTTTTAGGTTAGGGTACGTTAACCGACCTCTTGTGGCCGGTTAGAGTTAACATCGGTTAAATCGAGATAACGTTCCGTTAAAAGTTGGTGAAACGCAAGTTGAAATTTGACGGTCCGTTAATGTCTTAATCGAGGTTGGTGGATCCGGGCATAAATCCTGTCCAACTCTAACAATACTCTTCCCTAATAATTAATTAAAAAATGTTTTAATTTCAAAATAAAATAGAATTGAAAAACAGTGGAGCAAAAAAGTCGACCGCAAAGTGGTCGACGAGGCGCTAATGATTTTAAAATTCATAATAAAAAAATGAAATTTTACTAATAATATAACTACAATAGTTTTTATAACAATATTTTTTAAACAATTAGAATTAATTTTACGTTTCGTTCTTTATCAAATGAAAAGTTGATTAAAGTTTTATCAGAAATGTGATTCTGCGAAAAGATATAATTAAACTTTTCAAAAGATGTAATTGTTTAAACAGTTACGATTGTTTTTAAAGTTTAATAAACATAAAACTCCAAAATCATTTATATGATATCACAAGTATTCTGCAAAAAAAATCAAAAATCGGTTAAGAATTATGGTCTCAAGCAACTTTGAAACATCATATTATGTCATTGCAGAAATTCGCATTTTGTTCCTGCACGCAATGACAAAAAATTCGATATTTCCGAAACTTATAGACATACCATAGATTTTGAGGTCTTGAAAGAATCGTGGAATCATGGGGAATCGAAATATCAACATTAGAAAAAATTAAGAAATACGCTTTTAAACAAAAAATTTGTTTAAACAATTAAAAATAAATTTTTTTTGTTTAAACAATTTTTTTTCTTGGTTATATAATTTTTTTATATGTCTCTATATAATAAGTAATGTGTGTAAAAATCATTAAAATCCATTCACTTGTCTGCGCGATATAACGTTTTCAAATTTTTTTTCAAAATTTTGAAAATCCCGTAAATCTAAAAATTGTTGATATTTTCAAAAATTACTTCTAGGCACTTCATTTACATATATTCCTTTATCATTTTATCAAGTTTCATTAAAATCGAAGAACTAGGGGACAACATTGATATTTTAGGCATGGTTTTACCCACCAAAGCGTGGGTTATCTACTCAATAAAACATAAAATTAAAAATTATGTTAAAAAATAATACAAAAATTAAGCTAAGAAATAAAAAATTGTATTAATTTTACAAGAATAAATGGATAAAAAAAGGTAAAGTTACTTTCACTACGCTTTCATAGAAAAATCTAAACTCTCAGCAATTTTTGCATATTTCTTATACAACTTTTTTCTATTCTCAATGTAAATAACGAATGAGAAAAATTATATTACTCATTTTTGCTAAAATTTACTTCTAAAATAGTGAAAATTTATAGAAGATACAGAAATGAGCAGAAATTTGAGGTTTTATTATAAAAGTAGTAATTAATGAATTAACTACTTAAGTAATTTTTTGCATTGGAAAAAATTTTGATGAAAAATAATTCTGTCGAGAGTTTTATTAATTCGATTTAAGGTAATATTAATGCGTCTCTTCCCCTTTCTCTCAGAAAATGAAAAAAAGAATTGCTATTTTTTTGTGAAAATTAAATAGAAAAAACTACTATTTTTGCTTGTATGCTTTAGCCTTCGAGAGATGCGACTGGAGCAGCCATAGCTATATTTACAGCACATTCACATCTTCCCCAAAATACCACACATCAGACTACCTTACAGGTGCGCAGATTAGAGATTAGTGCATTCGCTATTTTATTTTTTTCAGTTAATTATTCTTTCGTTGCGCTCATTGAGATTATATATATATATATATATATATATATATGGGCGAATCTCTGAAACTTTTAACCTTTATGTCCCTCACATTATTTTCATTTAAACAGCCTAAATATAAAAACTAACGATTTTTAAATATTTACATGTTTTTAAAAAGAAAATAAGGATTAAGATTTAACCATTGATATACATTATTTTTTTTATTTTTTCTATGTTTTTCTTTATTAAAGTTCACAATACCATGAGTTTGCAAATGTCACTTTCACTTTTTCTAAAAGTATTTTAACTGTTTAAATAAGATTTTTTTGGAAAACACGTTTTTTACTGTTATAAACTATTTAAAAATATCTTAAGAATTCCATAAACAAACTTAAAAAAAATAAAAAGTAAAAATTATGAAAGATATAATCTTCTAAAAAGTGTCCCTCAGTTTTTGTGTCGCTGGTCAAATCAAAATGGTTTTATAAAATAAACATTTAAAAACTAAATGAAAAAATTTGAAATAAGAGGCACAATTGAATAGTAATTCAAATTTTATGTGCGTGATTTTTATTTTTATTTTGAACTATATTTTAAGCAAAATAATTGTTGGATACTTGTGATACTGGTGTAGTACGGAAAATATGTCGCTGGTCAAATCATTAATTTCTCCAAAGTTTCTTATTTAATTTGCTCCAAAATTGGGGCACATATTGCTTTAGATGTATTTAAAACTGTGCATATGTTTTTATTTATTCTAATTCTTATTTAATTATTTTTTTTTACGTGGATATTCAAATTGTCGCTCGTCAAATATGTCGCTTGGTCAAATCAATAGTTTTCCAATCAATTTGAAGATTCGCATTTATTTGTTTCGTGTTATTTATCACGAAGTAACCAAAAATGTAATAAAAAGTGACAAAATGAAAGAAAATCAAAGAAAAGAAAGTAAAAAGCGAGAAAAAGTAAACGCGGAATGAAAAATTTATCAACGGAAGGGACTTAAGTAATATTTATTTATTTTTTATTAAACGTTCATGAAACTGTTAGTGTTTTTTCAAGGTTATATTAAGATCCTCGATATTTCTTCAAAACAATTCAGCCAATCAAATAATTAGAAAATTTCATGTTACTAATTCAAATAATTATACGTAAAAAATTTTCATTAAATTTTTTTATTGGGATTTTGTCCTTATTAGTTGTATTAGACGTTTATTATATTTATTTTCATGTTTAATTATGTTTTTGTGATACTGAGAAATAACTTACTTAAGTGTAGGAGATAAAATGTTTATGTATATCTTGTTACAGATTTAGATAACCTAACATTATTTTCTTTCCAAAAATGTATATTTTAAAATAGAAGGCAACAAAATAATGGTTGTACAGTAATTAAAATGAAATTTATTTTGGTCAAAGATGTAAGACCAAAAATATCAAAATTGTGCACACAAAAAATTTTTTTAAAAAATTTAAATTCGAATGTTAAAGTTTTCAGAGATTTGCCCATATATATATATATATATATATATATATATCGAGTCCTTATTGTCATAATTTTCTATACTTTATATAAATAATATTAAATTTCAGGGTGTTGTTTATCAACTTGATGCCGCACTTGAGAGTTCAGAGACACAAAGGCACGGATTAGTGTTCATTTACGATATGTCTGACAGTAAATACCAAAATTTTGATTACGACTTGTCACAGAAGATTCTCACACTGTTAAAGGTAAGTTGACGCATATTCTCTTTGATACTGACATTCCTTATTAATGACATCCTTTTAATGAATAAATTCGCTTTTACAGAAGAGAACTTGTTTAAAGGTAGATTTTTTCATTACAGAAACAGTTTTTTCTTTTAAAATAGAATTTATTTTTTTAAAAAATCTCAAACTCTTAAAATGTTTCACAGAAAAAGAATTTTTTTCCTACACGGAAAGAAATCTGGTAAGATAATATCATTTGAGAAAGTGATGGATTTTTAGGATCAATAGGCGAATAGAATTTAACCATCTAACGCGAGTAATATTAATATGAAAACATGAAAATATTTTGTAGGAGCTGCAGATAGAAAGAAAGCAAAAGCCCAAGTGCGAAAACCAACGCGGCCCAACACTGGCCCAGTATTGGCAAAGCTGGCATCGAGACTTGGCAGACAATATTGGCCCGACTTTGCGCCGACTCTTGTGGTGTTAACAGCGGTTGGACGTCGGCAGCCAAATCTCGGCAGACATTAATGGCCCAATATTGTCCGCCAGATCTCGGCAGACATTAGTGGCCCATTATTGGCAGCCAGATCTCAGCAGACATTAATGGCCCAATATTGGCTGCCATTACTCCCCCAGTGTTGACAAAATTAGAAAAAAATAAAAATAAATTTTTTTTTATTCAATTAACTAATTAATTTATAACATTTATACGGCTTATTTCCCTAAATTAAACGCAAACTTACAAATATTTGAAAAATTCTTACCTCTCGCGGGGATCGATACCTGAACCTGACGCACCACAGCCTAACACTCTGACCACTCTGCTACTCTGACTTGAAGTCGAGGAAGCAAAAGGGTTCTTATAAGCTACACTACACTGGCCGATACTGTGCCATTCTTGGGCCGAGCTACGTCCCAATATTGGCAATTATAATTTGACATCATAGATACAAAATGATAGACATTAATGTGCCGTTATTGGGCCAAGCTACTCCCCAATACTGGCAATTATAATTTGCCATCAAAGATACAAAATGTTTGCCATTAAAGTGCCACTAATGAGCCATTAATGGACCGATCTTCGTCACATCACTGGCAATTGAATTTTTCCATTAAAGATTGATCAACTTTGCCATGAATGTGCCGTTATTAGGCCAAGCTACGCCCCAATTCTGGCAATTATATTTTGCCATCAAAGATACAAAATTTTTGCCATTAAAGTGCCATTAAAGTGCCATTAATGTGCCTTTAATGGGCCAATCTTCGTCACATCATTGGCAATTGAATTTAATAAAATTTTAATATCAAAATTCATGGTATATTTTTAATATTTAATTATTATCTAAAAATTTGACTAGAATCCATTTTGAAATAAATTTTTACTAGAAAATTCTACGAGAATTTAATTATTTAAATGCAAAAATAAATAATTTATTGAATAACTAAATGTTTCTTAAAATTAAATTATGAGAATTAAATTTTAAAAAACATTCATTTATTCAATAAATTTTCTTAAGCAAATAATTTGCATCATTTCTATTTCTTAATTACAATTGCTTTAAGAAAAATTCAAAGATTTTAAAAAAATAAAGGAAAAAAATGTTTATAAATTCTATTTGTCAATTGCAAATATTAATTGAATAGTGAAATTGAAAATTTCTTAATTTTTAGATAATAAAGGAAAAATTTTACTCAAAAAAAGGTTTCTGTTACATTTATTCACGAATTTCTTTAATTGTAAAATTATTTGAAAACATTAATAAATTCTTTTTTAAATTAATACTTAATTAAACTTTTTCAAAAAAATTAATTCTTTAAAATTGACAGTTAAAAATATAGAAAATTCAAAGTTTCAAATACTTTAATTTGAATCCTTTTCAAGCTTATTCAATTATTTAAATACAAAATAAATAATTTATTGAATAACTGAATGTTTCTTAAAATTAAATTTTTATAAAAAATTTTACCAAATTAAAATGCCATTAATGTACCTTTAATGGGCCGATCTTCGTCACATTACTGTCAATTGTCTTTTGCCATTAAAGATTGATCAACTTTGCCGTGAATGTGCCGTTATTGGGCCAAGCTACGCCCCAATACTGGCAATTATAATTTGCCATCAAAGATACAAAATGTTTGCCATTAAAGTGCCACTAATGAGCCATTAATGGACCGATCTTCGTCACATTACTGTCAATTGTCTTTTGTCATTAAAGATTGATTAACTTTGCCGTGAATGTGCCGTTATTGGGCCAAGCTACTCCCCAATACTGGTAATTATAATTTGCCATGAACGATACAAATTTTTTGCCATTAAAGTGCCAATAATGAGCCATTAATGGGCCGATCGTCGTCACATCACTGGCAATTGAATTTTGCCATTAAAGATTGATCAACTTTGCCGTGAATGTGCCATTATTGGGCCGAGAGCTGGCCCAGTCTTAAAAAATTTGAAATTGTGACCATCGGCGCCATCATTGGCCCAGTAATGGGACGTTTTGGACACCAATAATGGCCCAGTAACTACTGCCAATTCTCGGCAGACATTACTGCACCAATGATGGGCCGTTTTTGCAGTCTTGGCATTTCGCACTTGGGAGCCAGTTGTAAAATTTCCATCTATTTGATGTGAAAAATGCTCGTAGGCCTTATTACAGTTTTAGCACAAGTCACCTGTTACTATTCCATCGGCCACCACTATTTTTCAGGCGGAGTTTGTACAACACAAACTAACCTTTATATACCTGCATGAACACATACACACAAACAATACATTGGCTGACGGCGAGGTATTGCTTGTGTGTATGTGTTCATGCAGGTATATAAAGGTTAGTTTGTGTTGTACAAACTCGGCCTGAAAAATAGTGGTGGCCGATGGAATAGTAACAGGTGAGTTGTGCTGAAACTGTAATAAGGCCTACGAGCATTTTTCACATCAAATAGATGGAAATTTTACAGCTGGCTTTTGCTTTCTTTCTATCTGCAGCTCCTTTAAAATATTTTCATGTTTTCATATTTTAATATTACTCGCGTTAGATGGTTAAATTCTATTCGCCTATTGATCCTAAAAATCTATTACTTTCTCAAATGATATTATCTTACCAGATTTCTTTCCGTGTAGGATATAAATTCTTGTTAAAGAAAAGAGATAAATTTTCAATAAAGGACCCTAAGTAAAAAAAATCCGTGGAAATACCCCCTGGAAATTCCAGGGAATTTCTGCACCGAAAGAAAAGTAATCACGTATTAGGAGGAAAATTCCCTTTTTCTAATAACCTCTTAATTTATACTCTCAACAGAAATGTATTCAATTTTAATGGAGAATATTTTTATTCTTTTCTGATTAATACACATTGAGACGATTTATGCTTTCAAAATACTATCATAGGGGAGACCGAGGTGAGTTGAAACGATTTTTACATTATCCAGCGTAACTCAGCCAAAAATTTTGTTTATTTGTTTATACACTCGTCTTAAGCCTACAATCTTGGCTATACAAGTGTTTGTTTACATCTCGTAAATTTCTCTTACAAACTTATATACATTTCCTTATTACTAAATTTTGCGCCTACAGAGCGACTTGAAAATTAGGAGTACTCGCATTTGCCTGGACCACCCGTCTAATGGGTTTTCTCGCCAGTAGAGAGGGAAACTGTAGAATACCTCTCCTGAGTACAACCGGTTTATCGACAGTCGAGTTCTAATGGTGTGTACCGCACAATAATGATAATATATTTACCGGCCCGGTACTGTCATTTCGCTCTGTTTTATACCGCCGAAGGAGATTTGCCGGTGATAATATATTTACCGTCCCAGCGCCGGCCCGGTACTACTATTTGGTTTTGTTTTTATACGGACGAAGGAGATTTGCCGGTGATAATATTTGTACAGGCCCAGCACCGGCCCGGTACCACCATTTGGTTTTGTTTTTATACGAACGAAGGAGATTTGCCGGTGATAATATTTGAGCCGGCCCAGCACCCGCCCAGCACAAAAATTTACTTAATACTTTCTACTGGCACAGAAGTTTTGCCGACAAAAATATTATTACTGGCCCAGTGTCGTCCCGGTTGTTTGCTAATGTTAAACTAGCAGAAAAAGAATTAAAGAAGAGGAAAAAAAATTCAAAAATTAATTTATTAATTAATTTAATAATTTAATTATTAATAATAAATTAATTAGTTAGTTATGCCGGCAATTATATTAATACCGCACCGGTTGAATATTAGTGCCGGCCCGGTACTGCTGCCAGGTGGAATGTCGGTTGGACTTTATAAGCTCACTTTGCATTTACTTTCCATATGCAGGTTTAGGTTAGCGGATGTGGTGTCGACTTTGCAGCCTCAGGGTCTTGAGTTCATTTCCTCGAGTCTTCAGATTTTTCTATACTTGTTTATGTTTCTCTGTTTTAGCATTTAATATATTTACTGTTTCCAATTTAAAATTAATAATAACATTGATAATAATAATAATAATTAAACAATTAATCAGACTGACATGTAATTTTTTTAACCGGCCCGGTACCACACTGGTTGTTTTTTAGTGCCGGCCCGGTACTGCGTCAGATATTTATTAGTGCCGGCCCGGTACGGTTGCCGGATACCTACCGAAGTTATCATCCGGCAATTTACCGGTACTGCGGTATTATTTTTTATCTTAAATTTTGAGACTGACGCAAAAAACAAAACCATTTCATGAAACTAGGATATCCAACAGTTATTAAGGTAAATATTAGAATAACAAAAATCTAATATGTGTCGAATAATAAAGTATCAAAATTTCAGCTAAAAATTGACTTTTAGCAATTTTTTTGCACACATATTAAATACATCTCATAAACTTTTCTCAGGTGGTCAAGTAAATTTGCATCAAATAGTGAATCACAAATGTAATAAATTCACGCTTTTCAAAAATTTTAAAAGGTCATAGATTTCGAGAAATCGGCTTTGTTACAATTCACCTCGGTCTCCCCTATATGCCTCAATTATGCTCCTGAATAATGTCAATTATGCTAAAAT